CCAACTCAAGACATAGGGAGCATTGTTGAACATGGGACAGAAAACAAAAAGTAAAAAAATTGGAAGGGGTATAGTATTGCAATTGTTGTTTCACCTTTCCTCTAGAGAGAGGAAAGAGGTTCTGAATTCAGGATGCTAACAAAAAATCTGATGATTAAGAGGCTTAGAAAGGAAAAAGACTCATGCATTCCTACAGGAAATAAGCACTAATGAGAAGGAGGAGACCTTTGGAGGAGCTGTCTACAAGTTGGTGAGGAGGCTCTAGGGAAGCAGTTTCCAAGAGTTGCTGCTCATGATTTGGTGAGATTTTCAAAGATGTGGCTGCCTTTGCATCATCCATGTTTCTATAAGTGAGCCAACAAAGTCACTCCACTAAGACAGCTTTGGGTAGAATTGTTTTCATCTGTCATTGGTACTTTATGTGGGGTAATGTTTATGACCTCAAGGGAAGATCATAAGACATACATCTACAAAATATATTACATACCAACAAACAAAAGAGTGTTTAACTGTTTCATTGTGTGTTATAACATACACAACCTGAAACATAAAACCATCCATTAATTTGCTGAAAGTTTTTTTCTAGTGACTCAACTCACTCATGGTTTCACTTCAGATTGCAGCGTTAAGGTCTTTTAACTCTCAGAATATTACTTCCTTCATGTCCTATGTAAATTTTACTCTCCTTAACAAGTCCCTGAGAACAACTTTCATTTCTATAAATCGTACTCTTTGTTATTTAGCCCACATCTAAACCACATCTTAGACAGAAAATTCCATGAAGGACCATGAGTCTTTTTCCCACACACAGCTAACATTCAAAAAAGTATGTTAATGGATGCGATGAATAAATCACAAGCCTCTGTATCATTAGCAAAGGAACCCAGGGCTAGCTCTGGATATATAAATAACAGCCAAATATTTAAGAAAATTATATTTGGGTTGATCATACTTGTTTTTTAGTAACATTCTTTCTAGTGACTAAATCAAATTAAATTAACAAGTACTGTTGAACAACATTTTTTTTTCTACTTGCAATCCGCTCTTTTATGGGCCATGGACAACTATTTAGTATGTGAAGGAGAGCTCAACAATGAAAACTTCAGGAAGTGACATTAAGCCAAAAGCATATTTAATTGAGTGCTCAAATGAATAGCCTTTTAAGTAATATAGACTATAATACTTCCTATAAAGTATTCCTTATCAAATTACCTTTGCAAGCTTTGATACCTTTACTATGTTATGAAAGAAATTTCAGTACATTTGTTATGTCAAAAGTAAGTTGCATTTTATCTCGTCTATTCTCAGAAGATAAATGAGGCAAACCAAGGTTTCCATTGTCAAAGAAGTCCATTTTTGATCCTACACCATTTAAATGAATAATAAGTAAATGGAAGACTAAACCATTGATGAAAAAAGTCATGTTGAATATCATTTACTAAACATTTTATTTGAGTCAGAAAATTTTATAAACTACAAGTTGATATTCAAATCACTAGGTTTTTCACTTTTATTTGGAGAAAATAGAACAAATTAATTGGGATAGTTGTGTGTAACCATGTAAATGCAAGTTATAGTTGACATTTGAATACATGTATAATATTTGCTCTACTATATAATACATACAATATTTTCTTCAGAGGTTTTCTGGAAATATAATAAAATTGAGAAGAAATGTTTGAAATGTATACTCTGAAAAATAAAGAATATGGTTGCTAAAGAGCTTGTAGCTACATGCTTCAATAACTGAACAAATTTGTGCTGAAGAAACAAATCAATCAAACTAGTTGTTATTTGGCATCATGCAGTCAAAAACAATTGTTGATTTGACAATCTTGCACATTTCAACTGGTTGTCATGGAATCATCATGTTGAATTAAAAGAAAAATGATTACCTATGCTCCAGAGTTTTCAGCTTCTACAAAACATGAAATAAAGAGGTCTGAAAACAGAGGACAGTTTTAAAGTCTCTACTGAAGGCTTAGTCATAGAATACATTTTATAGCACGACTTTAGTGTGTCCTGAATAAACTGATATTGAACATACCCCATGCTGTTTGTCTTTGAGAGGTGTCCTAATTTAGACTTTGCTTTGACCTGTGGACAGATGTAGAATAGAAATAGCCATAGAACTGCCCAAAAGATGAACAATGCTGGGTTCTCTTTTAGTTACCAAGAATATAAATTGAGAATAATGTAATATTATCATGGAAACTGACTCAGTTATTTTCTACTTCCCTTCCTTAACTCCAGTATGGACTACTGAAAATATGTACAAATCATGTTATCTTCAGTTTTCCATTTGATTTGAATCCTACATAAGTACAGAAAACGAGTCATTTATAATTCTTAGTAACCTCATTTGCAGTTTGTCAAGGCAAACTTGATAGAAGAAGGCATGTCCCTTCCTGACTCCTGTGCATCATGAAGCAAGCACATTAACTCCTTACTTCAGTCTGCCTACAATGACAACTGTTGGAGCTGTGTTTCAGCCATGATTCTGTACCCTAGCAAGACCTTCAGAGACTTCTATCTACATTAAACACATATTGAAGACAAGGCATCCAATAGGCCATCTAATAACAGGGAGTCCCATCAGCCCCCAAATCAGAGTTCATTTATCTGTGATAGTTATTCTGGGTGGATGGTTAACTTAGCTGTGAAAAGTTGCCTTTTACATAATGTTTCCCAGAGACAGTCAGGCCTGAGTCATCTTTAATCTTTGTTAATAGAGTCGAGCATGAACTAATTTAAACATTGAAGTAGTGGTCAGTATTCCTATATAGCTAAACAAAGCCATAAGCAAAATAAAACAATCCAAAGTCAGTTTAACATTGTGGTAATAGCCAAATTACTCTTTTAAACTTATTTTTTGAAACATCAAGTGGACTATTAACAACTAAAATTATAGGAACTTCAAACATACTGAGTAGTCCATAGACCTTATCAAAAGATAGCTCATTCAGTCTTATACGTGAGACTGCCATGTGGTCTTTTTCATAGATCACTGTCAATTTCCTTGACCATCACTGTTTTACAGTTCACTAGAACTCACCAGTGTTGTAAAATATGTTGTATAAGGTTATATCTGTAGAACATTTTACAGCACACTTTTTATCCTTATACCCTCCCCCACCATCTTATTCATGCTGTCTCAAAATTTTTAAATAAAAATATGGAAGAACTCTTGGGCCTTTAAATAGATCACGAAAAGCTAGACTATAACCTGTGTAAGGAAAGCAGATCCTCTGACTGTATCATCATACTAACACATTGTGCTGCTTTTGGGATGTCTCTTCACAGCCAATTCCTTTATCTACCTTCAGTCAAGCCTACCTTTGCTTTACCTATTTAATTTCTCATAACTTTTTGTTCATTTCAATGCAACAATCTATCAGTGAAGTAGTATTTCCTGGTGGTCTCATGTCTACACAGCCTATCATTTCATATCTTAAAGGCATTCATTTCAGAGTGCTCACTGTAAAAACTCTATGTATGGTGGCTTATGTTCAGTCCTGCACACACTGTTGAGAATGGGTACTTAAAGTGTAAATTTATTTGTCAGTATTGTACATTGAGTGAATCAGAGGGTTCTGTTACAGTACTGAGTAATATAAAAGATGAAGAGCCAATGACAGTCAGCATCTAGAATAAAGCAGGTTGACTTGTTTTCCTTCTTGATGTCTCTCTTTAGAAGAATTAGTGGTGCTTGCTTAGTTCACATTGTGATATACCCAAAGACAAATGCAGAGTATGTGATCGTGGTGTGAATTTCATGAGCTGGCAAACACATGGAGCATTAGCCCTTGTGTTTGGTCCACTTACTCTGAAAGAGTTTATCTTTACTCTTTCTAAGTGCAAACGTATACATATTTCATGTAGATACTCACAGCTTGTTTTACTGTGTTGGAATGGCTCGATAGATCATAGCTACAGTATATATTGCCTGTTCCTACTGATGCTATCTATATTTTATTGTTTTCAAGCTACAATTACTCTAACTTTCACAGAATTGTGTAGGAAAAAGTAATGCACATTCATTAAATCTGATTATAGCCCTAACTTTGCCATTTCCTATTTCTGTGACCTTGAGTGAACAACTTAATTTGCGAAAGGCTTGATCTCGTCAAAACTCAATCTAGATGCAGATTGATAATTACTTCATTTCATTTTGTATAAAGATTATGAGAAATAGTGTACATGAAAATGCTTTCATAAACAAACTATAAATATGAATTGCTTTATATCTGAGTTTAGAGTATACTCCCAAAAAGAAGTTTATGAAGCTCCCACATTTAACTCCTATTTTTTGTTATTTTTAATAAACATATGTTCTATGTATGTCATTGCATAAAATAATGATAAGTCCTTAAATTACAACCTCAGGGAGCAGTAGCATTAAAAACATGGTATAGAGGAGGTGAGGCTATAATCTTGGACTCTCTAAAATTCAGCAATAAATAGTATAAGGAATATATCTAGATAAGTGATTGGTAGATAGGCTAGATAGGCAGACAGACAGAAGATTCATTAGTGGAGAGGATATGTAAGCTAGCACTGTAAAATCCAGGGAAGATCAGGAGGAGATAAGACAAGGAGGAAGTGAAAGATGTGAGTCTTTTTGGTCATCTGCAGAATTGGACCTAGGATCTGTTCTCTAAGCATGTCTTGTTCTGAATAGTATTTGCCCAGATGAGTTGACAAATCAAATAATTGGTGTAATGTAGCTCTAATGGAGACAAATACCCGCTGAAACATACGAGACTGAAAATGGAAGTGGCGGAGGGTACAGAATTAATCCAATGTATCACTTCCCTTCTATGTGTCAGCTATAAAGAACTGACCTCTCAGAGACCAAGGAGTGAGCAGTTAGTGAATTAATGTAACGCATCATCACAGAGTCCCTTGAAATCTATCTATAAACCCTAACCTGAAAAGGTATAAATACCATGTTTAGTCATTGAAGAGTATTTATGAATCGCATAAACTTCCCTTTCTCATTCATTCACAGGTTTTATTTTTTTATAAAGATAAAAGCACAATACAGCTTCAGTCAGCTAGAGTCATGTTTCTTCTGAAACTAAAATTAGGAAAAGCTCCACATTTATGTTATAAATACAAATTCCAATCCAGTTATTTTTCCTGTTTGGTTCAATTTCCATATTGTGTCGTTGAGATGCTAATGGGAGTCCTCCTCTTCCTTCTCTTTTCTTCTCTCCCCTCTTCTCTTCTTTTTCTTCCGCTTACTTTTCTCTTCTGCCTATCAAAGGAGACTCCCAAAAGACAAAAATAATGTTTTACATTTTTGCTTTAAAATCCATGTTTATTCCTGCTGAGGCTATGGGTATGATATTGTTTTTAACGTAAACATAGTTTCTCATTAAGTAGTATCTATTCTTTAATCAATCAGTCAGCAGGTCAAAATAGCCATATTTTTTAGAAAGGCTAAGTCTTCTTTTGATTCACATTTATTTGAATTTCCTAAATCAAATGAGAGAGAAAAATACATCCAATGTTTCTTAGGTTAGAGACACTGAGTGGGATATGAGATGTTACATAGTCATGAGACAGTTGTTCTGAATAATAAGTGGATATCATAAACCCCACAGCATTTTGGCTTGAATAATAGATTATTAGGGACTTATAAAAAGAATCTTAATGATGTATCTGGGTATACATCTTAAAAATGTGTTTATGATCAAAAACACCAATGACAATTTATGCTGGAGAGGATGTGGTGAAAGGGGGACACTCCTCCATTGCTGGTGGGAGTGCCAACTGGTTCAGCCACTTTGGAAATCAGTATGGAGATTCCTCAGAAAAATGGGAATAAACCAACCACAAGACCCAGCAACTCCACTCTTAGGCATATATCCAAAAGATGCCCATTCATACAACAAAGATGTCTGTTCCACTATGTTCATAGCAGCTTTATTTGTAATTGCCAGAACGTGGAAGCAACCTAGATGTCCCTCACCTGAAGAGTGGATAGAGAAAATGTGGTACATCTACACAATGGAGTACTATTCAGCAGAAAAAAATAATGGAATCATGAGATTCGCAGGCAAATGGATGACACTAGAAGAAACCATCCTGAGTGAGGTAACCCAGTCACAAAAAGAGAAACATGGCATGTACTCTCTCATATATGGATTTTAGACATAGATCTGGGGAGTGCCAGCCTACAATCCTATGGCCAGAGAGTCTGGGAAACAGAAACTTCATTTAGTGGCTGATCGAAGAAGAGGCAGACTCCCTTGGTTAAGTACTGAGCTGAACTCAAGAAAGCCAGTAACAGAGAGGGAGGACTGATGATCAAAGGGATTAAGACTGGGCTGGTTTAACCCCCAGAAACAGCTGACCAGACAAAGGTTAACTCTTGAATCCCAGGCATTAGCCTGGGAAGCCAGCATGGGACTGATCAAGATCCCCTGAATCTGGGTGTCAGTGAAGAGGCCTAGGGAATCTATTGAGCCTTGGGCAGCAGATCAGTACCCATCCCAAGTATACACACGGACTTTGGACTCCAATAGAACAATGTGAGGTGCACTCTCACCCTGAACTCTTGGGAAAGGGTCTAGGCCCTGCCCTATATGAAATGACACACTATGGACACCCCCATGGAGGGCCTCACCCTCCCTGGAGAAATGAGGGGTTAACGGGGGGGAGGGCACGGGAGGAAGGGAGGGAATGGGAGAGGGACCTGGAACTGACTTGTGAAGCAACCTTGATTCTTATCTAAATTTAAACTGGAAAATAAAATTAAAAAAATGTGTTTATGAAGGACATGGGGGAGCAGGAAGAATGAGTTTGGGGAAGAATAGTGGAGAGAAGGATGAGACATATTATAAAGAGGGAGCTATTATAGGTTTGAGGAGAGATCTGACACTAGTGAGATTACCAGAGATCTAAAAGGATGACACCAATTGGCAAATGAGGCAATAGTAGAGAGACTACCTTAAATGCCCATCCCTGATAATGAGTTTGATGACTACCTTATATGTCATCCTAGAACCTTCATCCAGTGATTGATGGAAGTAGAGGCAGACACCCACAGCTAAACATTGAACTGACCTCCTGGAACCCAGTGACAGAGAGGGAATGATGAGCAAAGGGATCAAGACTGGCTTGGTAAAACCCATATAAACTGCTGACAATTGGGAGCTCTTGGATCCCCGACTGATGGCTGGGAGACCAACATGGGACTGATCCAGACCCCCTGAACATGGCTGTTAGTGAGGAGGCCTGGCCAATACATGGGGCCTTGGATAATTATTTATCCCTGGAATGCAGATGGACTTTGGGTGCTCCTCCCACAATGAGAGATGCTCTCTCAGCTTGGACTCTTGGGGAAAGGCCTAGGCCTTGCCTTAAATGAAATGACAGACTCTGGATAGCCCCATGGAGGGCCTCACCCTCCCTGAGGAATGGAGTGAAGATTGGGTGGGAGTCTGGGTTGGCAGATGGGGGGCGGGGGGAGGAGAGGAGGGAGAGGGAGCTGGGATTGACAGGTGAAGCAAGATTGTTGCTAATTTAAATAAAAAGTGTGTTTATGATATACAATGTCTTTGTTAGCGAGAAAGCAAAACTTCCTATATTTATACATTGAATTCTCAGACCAGACTTTAATTTGAATCTATACCTATAAGAATAAGACTTTCTTGATGTTGCAGAAGGCAACTATTTTTAGCAATGCGTGAAACCCACATTGGATTGAAATTTTGTAAACATTCTTAGGAAGCAGAGGTTATTAATTATTCTTGCTGGTCCCAGAATGACAGCATAAACCGTCACACCAATGCATGCTGCAGTTCACTTGTTAATACAGCAGAAACTTCCGAGTTGTGGTGCATGGTGACAATCCTGTGCACTTCAGTGTCAAGGGGCAATAGTGGCTGTCACAAGGAACAGCAGGTGACTATGTGATTGCTGTGTCTTCACTTTAACTTTCAAAACTGCTTGGGCTAGTAGTTGAACTGCAGCACAGAAGAACATCCACCTTAGTCTCATTTATTTAACAGTTTTGAAGGATATATTGAGGTGAATTACTATGCCTTGTCAAAATAATCTAATGGCTTTTGGAGTTACTTTTCAAAGGGCAGACATCTGTGGCCTGAGAGACTGAATAGAAACCACACTGGTTTTAGTGGTAAAAGATATTTGCCAAGACAGGGAGGTTGAGGGATGTTGGAGAAGGATTCATAATGCTCAGACTTAAAGGGCCTTAAAGCATGTTGCAAATTATCTGTTGAGGCAATATCTCGTTGATTTTTCCTTTGGCACCAAACTAAATTTAATGGGTCACCTGGGATTGGATGAAATTTATAAATTCATTGGGATTTTTTTATTTGTTTAGTTTCATTTCTGGACTATTGTCCAATTCTTAGTGTAAATTCGTAAGAACCTTGTCATAGGCCTCTGAATAACCCTGCTTTAATTAAGTGTTCAATACACATTAGCCATAAGGATTATTTTTCTTGCTGTGTTAATTAATAACTTTGTATTGAAAATAGGAAGCACCCATTATATACTTTGACAAGTTTAGATTAGATACACTGTATCTGCAAATAAATTTATATCTGAACATTGATTAATTATGAAGTTAAGCTGGATAAACTCAATATTGGTACTCAGTGGAAAGTTTTGTTGCTTTTCACTTTATATTTGATGAAACATCAATTTCTTTAATTTTAGAATCATGAACTTTCTCTCTCATTCTTTTTTAGAAAAAGTAGATACTGCTGAGAGTTAATCCCAAGGCAGATTGTTTTTCAATGAAACCTTAGATGCTTTCTCTTCTTCATTTTATCTTGCAGTTGGAAAGGATTTTTTTTAGAGAAAATAGTAAATGTTGAGAAGCCTGCAAATTTCTCTGAATTTTTCATCAAAATATGCAATGTTCCCTGGGTATTTCTACTAGTGACTTTTCTCAGGACCATGTTTAAATCCCTAACAAAAGGAAGTTAAGTAATAAAAGGTATATTTAGACATAGTAGGAAAGTTCATCATGGGGGACAAGACTTGGTGTCAGGACTTGAAACATCTGGCCTCATGTACCTCAGTCAAGGAGCAAATACTGTGGGAATTCAACTTCCTTTCTTCACTTTTTTGGGTTAATTCAGTTCAGGACCCATGCCAATGTCATGGTACTATCAACATATATAGTGGGTCTTTCTACTGCCATTAACCAAACATAGAAAAGCTCTTACTGATGGTTCCAGAGTTTTGTTCCCATGGTGATTCTAATTCCTGCCAAGCTGGTGATCAAGATCATCTGTAACAGTAGCAGAATGGAAACTATTTTATCAGTATCATTTGATTTCTTTCATTCAAGAGGGTTGTATAATTTCTTTGATTATTACGTGATTATCCTCTTTAAGAGGGCTGACATATCTAATAGAGGTGACATATCTAATAGGGAACATTACATATTTTGAAGAAAGGTTCAGAGATATTTGCAGGTTTCTCAATATTTTCCATTTTTTGAAAAAGTGTTTTCTGAGAGAACATGCAGACTGAGAAAAGTCCAGGTAGGCTACCAGCCTGCCAAATACCCCCACTCTCACTATCTCAGAATCCCACTACCCTATCTCTAGTCTGAAATTTTTCTACTTGCTCTCCTCCAGCCACAAACTTGGGTAGCTACACACAGACTGGGAGAAGTCCAGGTAGGCTGCTGCCTAATGTACTCCTAAATATTTTGTCCTCTGCCCACCCTATCTCAGGTCCCTCACACTCCAAGTCACCACACTCCATTCCCCCAACTGGAGCAGAGACTCCATGCATCACCTGAGACAACCCAGACAACCAAAAGTCCAGTTATCAACTGGGATGGAGAATCCCCACTCTACCAGAGACCAAGCAGTCCAGGAAAAGTCCATGTAGGCTGCCTGTCAGCCAAAATACCCACTATCTCACTATTTCAACACTATTCCCAATCCTGGACTCTCTTAGTTGCCTTGCTCAAACCTCCAACTGAGGAGGAGACTCTCTGCTCTACCAGTGACCACACACTGGGAGAAGTCCCAGCTTCTAACTAGTGTGCAGACTTATCAATTTACCAGAGGTCACACACTAGACTAGAGCATACAGACCAGAAGATCAGAGCAAAAATGGAAGCCAATGAAGCAAACACTGATCCAACAACGATAAACTCAGAAATCAGTACCTAGCACTATTAACTACACAAACAAAGATATCTAGAGGTCAGCATAAGAACACAATCAGCAACAACCAAGGAGATATGTCACCACCAGTACCCAGCTATCCTACTTCCGCAGACCTCGAATATTCCTACAAAACAGAAACACAGGAAAAGTACCTTAAACCAACTTTATGAAGATGATTGAGGTACTTAAATACGAAATGAATACATCCCTTAAATAAAGCAAAGAAAAAAGTGGTTGAAGGAAATGAATAAAACTATTCAAGACCTTGAAATGGTAGTAGAAGCAATAAAGAAAACACAAACTGAGTGAATTCTGGAAATGAAAAATCTAGGTAAATGATCAGGGACCACAGACACAAGCATCAACAACAGAATGCAAAAAATGGGGAGAGAATCTCAGATGTTGAAGATATGATAGAATAAATACATATATCAGTCAAAGAAAATATTAACTATAAAAAGGAACTGACAGAATCATACAGGAAATCTAGGACAAAATGAATAAAACTAACAGTAATAGGAATTGAGGAAGGATAAGATTCTCAGAAAATCATACAAGAAAATTTTCATAACCTAAAGAAGGATGTGCTTATAAAAGTACAAGAAGCCTACAGAACACAAAATATGAGGACCAGAAAGGAAAGTACCATTGATACACAATAAACAAACCACTAAATATTCAGAACTAAGAAAAATACTAAAAACTGCAAGAATAAAAGAGCAAGTAACATATAAACACAGACCTACTAGAATTACACCCGAATTCTCAATGAAGATTCTAAAAGCAAGAAGGGCCTGGAAAAACGTCCTGTGGACTCTAAGAGAACAAAGATTCCAGCAAAGATTACTGTATCCAGCAAAATTTTCAGTCATCTTAGAAGGAAAAAAAACAAGACAGCTAAATTTCAAAAATGTCTATCCATACATCTACTCATATAGAAGGTACTTGAAAGAAAACCACAACCCAAGGAGATTAAATACACCCATTAAAAACACAGACAATAAATACTCTCATAAAGGCAAAAACAAAAGAATGGAAACACATGTGCACAAACACATCATTACCAACAATAACAGTAATTGGCATTCACAGTCATTGATATTTCTCAATACCAAAAACTCAATTCCCCAATTAACAAAAAGGTTAACAGAATGGATGTAAAAACAGGACCCATCCTTCTGTATTCAAGAAATACTAATCTCCAAAATTTACAAAGAACTCAAGAAACAAGTCTCCAAAACACCAAAGGATCCAATTAAAAGGTGGGGTACAGAACTAAATAGAGAATTCTCAATAGAGGAGGCTAAAATGACCAAGAGACACTTAAGAAAGTGCTCAACATCCTTAGCCATCGGTGAAATGCAAATCAAAACAACTCTAAGATACCATCTTACTCCTGTCAGAATGGCTAAAATCAAAAACACCGAAGACAATTTATGCTGGAGAGGATGTGGAGAGAGGGGAACACTCCTTCACTGCTGGTGGGAGTGCCGACTCATACAGCCTCTTTGGAAATCAGTATGGAGATTCCTCAGGAAAATGAGAATTAATCTACCACTAGACCCAGCAATTCCTTTCTTAGGCATATAACCAATTGAGGCAAATTCATACAACAAGGGCATCTACTCCACTATGTTCATAGCAGCATTATTTGTAATAGCCAGAACCTGGAAGCAACCTAGATGCCCCTCAACTGAAGAGTGGATAGAGAACATGTGGTACATTTATACAATGGAGTATTACTCAACAGAAAAAAAAACAATGGAATCTTGAAATTCGCAGGTAAATGGATAGACCTGGAAGAAACCATCCTGAGTGAGGTAACCCAGTTGCAAGAAGACAAACATGGTATGTACTCACTCATATATGGGATTTAGACATGGATCAGGATAGTGCCAGTCTGCACTTCCACTGATAGAGAGTCTAGGAAACAGGAAAGAACCTAAAAGATATGCATATATGCATAGTACCCAAGAGAAGAGGATTGAGACAAGATCCTCTGAATGGATGGGGAGCACGGCGAGGGGTGGGGAGGTGTGGGAGCTGGAAAGAAGAGAGGGGTGCAGAGGAAGAGAGTTGGTCATGCGGGAACAGGAAGTTGAGTGGGTGGGGGTAGAATAAGGGGATGAGGGAATCATAGATTAGAAGACAGATCAGGCACCAAAGTGACCTCGAGTGATCTAATGGGATAACACCAATTGGCAAGCTAAGCAATGGTGGAGAGACCACCTCGAATGCCCATTCCTGATAATGAACTTGATGTCTATAACCATCCGGGAGCCTTCATCCAGTGACTGATGGAAGCAGAGGCAAACAAACAATTAATCACTGAACTGAACCCAAAGAACCCAGTCACAGAGAGAGAGGAGTGATGAGCAAATTGGCAAAGAATGGGCTGGCAAAACCAGCAGAGACAGCTGATCTGAACAGGGGAGAGCTCTTGGATCCCAGACCGACAGTGGGGAGGCCAGCATGGGACTGATCTGGACCTCCCAAATGTGAGTGTCAGCGAGAAGGCCTGGGCAACCTATGGGGTCCTGAGCTGTGGATCAGTGTCTATCCCTGGAATACAAACAGTCATCGTGTGCCTATAGCACAAAGAGGGATGCTCTCTCAGCCTGGACTCTTAGGGGAGTGCCTGGACCCTACCCAGAGTAAAATGACAGACTCTAGATATCCCCTATGTGGAAGGAATTGGCAATAGGGTGGGAGGCTGGGGGGGAAGGGGAGTGTGGGAGGATGGGAGGGAGAGGGAACTGGGATTGACATGAAAACAAGCTATTTAAAATTAAAATAAAAAATGATATATATATAAAAGAAATACACCTCAGTCTCAAAGATAGACATTAGCTAAGAGTTAAGTTTTGGAAAAAGATTTTCCAAACAAATGAACCCAAGAAACAAGCTGGTGTAGCTGTCTTAATATCTAGCAAATGTGATTTCCAACCAAAATAATCAAAAGCATTACGGAAGTATATTTCATACTCATCAAAAGAAAAATCCTCCATGATGATGTCGCAATTCAGAACTTCTATGCCCCAAGTGAAAGGGCACACCTATTTGTAAAAGAAACATTACTAGAATATAAATCTCACATGGAACCCCATACACCAATTTTGGGAGGCTTCAAAACCTCAGCCTCATCAATGTACAAGTCATCCAGATAGGAACTAAAAAGAGAAATATTGGAGCTAACAGATATTATGACTCAAAAGGACCTAACAGATACATAAAGAGTGTTTCACGTAAACACAAAAGAATATACCTTCTTCTCAGCACCTCATATCTTTTTCCAAAATTGACCACATAAGTGGTCACAAAGCAAGTCTCAGCAGATATAAAAAATTAAAATAATTTCCTGTATCCTATTAGAACATCAAAAACTAAAGCTGGATTTCAACAACAACAGAAAAATCAGAAAGCCTGCAAATTCTTGAATACTAAAAGCTCTTTACTGAAATACTACTGGGTCAAGGCAGTACTAAACAAAGAAATAAAACACTTCCTAGAATTCAGTGAGAATGAAAGCATACCCAAACTATGAGACACAATGATAGGAGTTCTAAGAAGAAATTTCATAGCACTTAGTGCCTACATAAAGAAATTAGAAAGATCTGAAATTAGCAATTTTACAGTATACCTAAAAGCTTTAGAACAAAAATAATCAAACACACCCAAGAGGATTTGATTATAGGAAATATTCAAAATGAAGTCAGCAAACTAGGAACAAAGAACAATACAAAGAATAAATGAAATAGAGATTTTTTTGAGAAAATCAACAAGAGAGACAAACCCTTATCCAAACTTACTAAAGGACACACACAGAGAGAATATTCAAATTAACAAAATCAGAAAATAAGGGGGAGCATAACAACAGACAACTAGGAAATCCAAAAGAGTTACTAGGCTATACTTCAAAATTGGCAAAATCTAATTGGAATAGAAAAATTTCTTGATAGATATGACTTACCAAAGTTTAGTCAACTTCCAATGAACAATTTAAATATTCCCTAAGAAAATAAAAGCAGTCATTAAAAGTTTCCCAAGCCAAAAAAAAATCATGACCAAACATTTTAACACAGAATTATACCAGAAGTTTAAAGAA